AGTCTTCCCCTTGAACCAGTCTTGAACTCTTGAGCTAGTGGAAGACTTTGAAGCCAATAAGCATTAAATCAACCACAACCACCAAACTCAAGGAAGACTAGTCATTTACTTAATGTAGTACTAAAGTTCAAATGATGAAGTTGCAGTAGCCATGTCAATAAAAAGTTTTAGATCAATATCCACTACGACATAAGAAAGAATCCAAAAGTAATACTTGTGTTTCATTCATGACCTAGGGCTTTGGCAGACCTTAGGCACGTGCCACTGCCAGGATATCTACCAACCACATCCAGGTATCAGTTGAACCCAAAGTAGCTCTTTGGTTGACCAACTTTCTTCTGTGGAAAGAACTTCTCCAAAATACTGTTCCTTTTCCACAAAAGACACATTTGAACTTCTCTTAATATACTAAATGTAATCAAACCTCCAATTGGTAAATTGATGCTACTACAAATGATTACCAAATATTATCAAACCTCCACTTGGTAACTTTAATGTAACTTACTCCAAGTTACTGAACAGAATAGCGTGATTATAATGGACTTACACATGCAAGGCACATCATCAATGACTTAACGGAAAGGGTTACATGAAGTGCCTTGAGTTTCCAACACTTGTAAAGACACACTCTCAAGCTTTAATAGTTATGGGAATACCCCTTATGCACTTTGTCTAAAAATATATTATTACAAATGTCCTACTAAACACTGACAGGCTAAATATTAGTTTGTGTTTTTCTTTTATTATGCATGTCTATACGCCCTTACTCCTATATCAGTTCGAAATTTGAGAGGGTTTTCTGAAAATTTCAGATCCTCAGTAAAATGTGAAATAATTCTAAAGAAGCCAGCTTGCATCACAATCACCAATGTATTCAGAGAAACAAGGCTCATCTTCACATATATATTCAGAGAAACAAAGTCGAACATTCTTACACAAATGAAATGTAATGATATGAGTTTGCGAGAAAAGAAATTGAGTAAAAGTCGAGGTGTGAGGCTATGATAAATTGTTGTGACCCTACAACAAAACACTGAAGGGTGCAGTTGAAAGTCCAAATCCTCTAAACGAGAAAATAAGGATTTCCTTTACCTGTTCATTACACCATCTAATAGGTGTAAAACTTATGGAGAGGACCAACAAGAAAGCACTTATTTGAAAGACAGTTCAAACAGAGTTCAGGCTTTTAAGCAACAAATAGCAATATTTGTATTGAAACTCAATGGATTAATGCTCAACATCACCCCAGAATAGGGTTCATCTGAAAAGAAGAATTTATTTTTGAAAAAGCAGCAATTTAGAGTATGTACAACAGTAAGTGGTAAGAAATAAGCAAACGGCCGAGAAAAGGCGTAGACCTCAGGGATTTTAGTTTCAGATTCCAGCTGAAAAAAATGCATTTCATTTTACTCAATACAAATCTATGGATGGAGAAACCAAATCGAACATCCAAACTAAAACCTCAACCCCTCAATTTCCACAAGACAAATACAAAAACTCACTTCATCAACAAACAACAAACACACACACACACACACAACATTATAACAAAAACAATTCTAAGTATAAATTAGGGTTTGATAAAATATTTTCGTACCTGAGCTTTATCAGCGAGCTGTACAACAAGTCGACCAACTGGCAACGGCGATTCATAAGAATAACTGTAATTAATACACTCCGAACGCATATATCGAGAAAGTACACGGCCGTCGGCGGTGAGTCCGGCGATGGCAACACCGATATGGTCATCAACTTTAAAGATCTTCTTCTGGTGAGATGAAAGCTCAGAATTAGCCTTGTTGACGCACGCGAGAATCACGTGCGTCTTCGATCGAAGTCCTATTGCTGCTGATCCTTGTTTTACTGCTTCCATTGCATACTCTACTTGAAATAGCCTTCCCGCCGGCGACCATGTTGTTACGTCGGTGTCGTACTGGTTCCTGAACATCTTCACGCGCTGACAATGTTGAGTGATTCACACTCTACCCTCTGAAATGGTTTACTTTGTGCTTATGGATTTTGGTTTTCTTTCTGTTCAAGGCAAAGTGTGTGAAGAAAGAGGTTATCGCTGCTACTCACTCTTTCTTCACTGTCAGTTAAAGTAGCTCAGTTTTGGGCCGAAACAGTTACGGCCCAGTCTATTAAGATATTAGCATAACACAAGGTAGCCACTTTTATGGCTGCTGTTTAAAATATAGCCAGAATTTGCAAAATGTGTAGATTTTAATCTCTATGTTGCTGCGCTTATTCTCAGTTTTATTATTTGCGCTGGTGTTTTTTCAGTCCACCTAGGTTGAAGTGATGATTAAAAAAACGCCATGAATTCCAAGTTAAGAGTGTGAGTTCAAAAGGTAAATATCTAACTCCATCTACACTTGCTTTTCATATATACACATACAAGTTTGGAGTTAAAAGAAGTTGTTTCTATGGAACCCGAAACTATACTACAAGTGGTTATAAGTGTAATTCTAGTATCACAAGTTCGAATCTCTCCAAGTTGAGTCTTTCCTACTTGCTGCAACCGTGCAAAAAGGTAGTACTGAAGGGGATGTGGTAATTATTCAGCAAAAAGACATTTGTGAAGAGGTTTTTTGCCTTCTCGAAGTGAATAATCATTTTCTATAATTGCACAACTCTACCGATCTGTTTGAGTTTACTACATGCATATTAGTTCACGGAATCAAACATCATGAGTTGGGAGAATGGTGTATTGAGATGAAAATAACTGTTGCAAAATTCTGAAAACAACCAGTAACATGATTATCTGGTACTCTTTTAGCTGCATGAGCAAGTGCCAAAAGATACCAACCTAGGATATCTTAGCGACTAGAGTCGTGAACATGCAACCCAGAAAAAGTCACAAGACTCATTTTGATGTAAACAGAATGCACAAAAATACCATCTTTATCTATGTGATAATGTTGGATCACGTTATGTCTCTTTGCTAAATGAACCGCAAGCCTCATGGAATAAGTTAAACTTGGAAGAGTGGTAAACACTAAATTATGATATTGGCAGTTCTTTGGCATGAGCAGGTGCTCCGTTCCGATCTCTGCTATATCAAAAATCACAACTTAGAAAGGAAGGATGAGAAAAGCTCCAACTACTCCTTAATTTTATCATGTATAGACATGACCGATTGGCAATCTAACAAGGACAAAAAGTAAAAGAATGCTTTTGAAAATCAGGACGAAATGAGAAAGACCATCTCCCTAATTCAAGAGATCCAGAGCGTTGGTTTGTTGGGTCTGAAATGGCAATGTCACAAGATGCAAAGAGTATCTTGGAACATCCATTCTAACAGTTAAGACATGGTATTAACCAATGCAACCAATGCCTTGGAACCCACCTTGGGACCATATTTCCTGTGGGGACTTGTTTCCATATAAAATAACAATATCGTAACATGGCAAAGAAAATATTTCAGCATGAATCCTAAACACCTTGAGCTATATGCACAGAGATAGTCTCTAAGTTCTAAAAATGCTCCAAATAAAAATATGGTTCAAGGAGAACAGAGTAAGGATTTACTTTTTGGTCCTAACAAGGCTCTTCGTTAGGTCAAAAAGAGGGCATTTACAAACCAAGAACATGAAGCATAATTGCATTTTGCGCATGCATCCGGTTCTCAGCTTGGGGGAATACAATGGAGTTTGGTGCTTCAATCACGCCATCAGTAACTTCAACTCCTCTTTCCGCTGGCAAACAATGCATGAAATACGCTTTTTTTCCAGCTAGTTTCATCAGTTCTTCATCCACCTGTAGAGAAATAATAAGACATAATGTCAAGCATGTGCTGCAGCGTTGGTGTGGCATCGATAAATGCTTCTGAATATAGGGGAGTACAAGTTTATTTTGACAAGTTAGGCAGAGTTCAACTTTGTTTTGATAATATAAAACAACGGATTGAGATTATTGTTTGCTTTTGATTCTTCTCAAGTTGTCTATCAGAACTAGAGAGGGTATCACACTAACCCGAAAACAGGAAATATAGCCATCTTAAACAATTTCTTAGAATTGGCAACAATTGCAGAACTTAATTTACTATGAAGCAAGCCACAGTAAAATATCAGAGTGAGATGCTTTTCAACTATCTATTACCCGAGTATCACTTGCTAGCAAACCCTCTCTTAATTATATGTTGCAACCTTGCTTTTTCATATTAAAAGAAATATGATTCAGGTCTCTACCTTTCCACTAATATGAAAGTCTAATCGTACACAAAGAAGTTGATGCACAAGCAGTGCCTACACAGTGAGCACCGCCCCATTAAAGTTCCAGAAAGTTCGGATAACTCCCCAACCACCCCAACAATAAAGGATAAACTGGCTCCTAGAAACCTGGATCCCAGTGGCCAGAAATGTTAAATAGAAGACCATTTGGAGCAGTTCATTAACTCCCCGCATAATATTTTCATAAACCCTCAATAAAGTCAACCTTGCTACAATAGCTTGATAGTGATAGCAAGACGTATTTTTTGAAACCTCCTAAATTGCCAATGTATTGAGCTCTCTGCCAAGTTATTTCGTGTTAGGTTGAAATAGGTATTTAATTCTCCTACTTGTACAAGCTGACTAGATCATAAGAGCCATTTCTCATGCTCCTACCTGGAATCCTTGAAAGACTTGAAGGCGATGTGCAGCTTCTTCCTTTTGTCCCATGCTGGCCCAGACATCTGCATAGACAACATCAGCGCCTCTAACGGCTTCCTTTGGATCATTAGTTATCTCAATTTTGCTGACTCCAGCCTGTCGTGCTTTCTCAACTGTTTCCTGATCAGGTTCAAAACCTTTGGGGCAGGCACAAACAAAGTGAAAAGGAATCACTGACGCCAATAGCAGCCAGGAATGCACTATGTTATTTCCATCTCCAACATAGACGACCTGGAATATGCAGCCACCACTAGGTTATTGAAATCGAATTACCAATACACAAAACATGTTTGAGATTATTTAAAAGAAATCTGAGATGTTTTGAGGTGTTTCAATTCCACATCCACCCTCAAGGTTAGATGTTTAATGAATCCCTTTTGTTGGTAAGAACAATGTAGACAATATAGATCACTTTTTGGATTTTCTATGCTCATTGTGTTCTATTTAGAAGTGGAAGGTGAGACTATATAAAGGGGTTGTAATGCCTCTTGATTGAGATGTACTCTTTTTGCATCTTCTGGGTGCATATAAATAAAACGTAATTGCTTCATCAAGAAAACTAAAAAAAAAAAAACTAACCTTAGTTCCTTCCAGCTGACCGACATGTTCGACCATTGTAAGGGCATCAGCCATAATTTGACAAGGATGGTTATAGTCTGTGAGGCCATTGATCACAGGCACAGTTGCATATTTAGCTAGATCAAGAATGTCCTACAAAACACATGAAATACAATTGATACCAATATTTGATTTGCAGTGGGAATGAAAGAAAGGGGGGAGATTTTCCTAAACTCAGTGAACAGATAACTTGGTCTACATTTCTATTTAAGCAATGCCTAAAGAATATTTAGACATGAACTGCTATCCACTCAATTAACTTTCTGAGAAAAGCACAGCAACATCATCAAACTGCCATATCTGTAAGCTGCAGTAATAAAACTAGGTTCAAGAGCATCTTGACGGTTTGCGTCATTGTAAACCTAGAGAAAAAGGAACAAAGAAAAGAAAAGACAGTTTATGTCTGTGGAGCCAAATGCCATCAGAGATTTAATCATAACAACAAATGTAGGGCCATCAAATATAAATGGGTCTTCTATGTACGCCATCCCCTACCTCCTCCTAACTGCCCCCGGGGAAAATGAAGAAAATATTTCTTTCAACTATTATATGGAGTTGCCAAGAGCGGCTTTAAATGAAGATGCAAAAATGCAGACTTGATAGCTGTAACGCTACAACAAATATATCTGTTATGCAATGCTTCTTATAAGCCTTAATTCTAACCAAGCACCAGGAAAAAGTCACAACAGAAAACTCACCAGCATACCTGATGAGCAAAAACTCTCGCCATAATGATGTCATTATAGCGAGAAAGAACACGAGCAACATCACGAGTTTCTTCCCGTTTACCCATCTGTATGTCATCTGGTCCCAAATATATCGCATGGCCTCCAAGCAAGAAAAACCCTGTCTCGAAAGAAACCCGTGTCCTCATGGAAGGCTTAGCAAAAATCATTGCCATAGTTTTACCCGTGAATGGGAGATACGTCCTCTCTCCTGATTTTAGCAACTCTTTAACCTCTCTAGCTCTATCCAAGATGTTCAAAATAGTGGCTTTGTCAAAATCACTGATGTGTAGAAAGTCCTTCTGATTGGCAGTTGCTGGAATAGAAAACTTAAGAAGACATGTTAAAAATATCCATCTTCAACAGACTATGATAAGAACTTGTACTTAACACATGATTAGTGAGCATGTTCAGATCACATCTACCCCATCATTAAATCATCAGCAGACATGCTCTTTTAACAAATTTGCATTTTTCCTATGAGAAGCTTTATATCACTTTTCTTAGCATTCATGTTCTAAAAATTGTAGAAAATTACATGTTGGTTCTTCAAATTCATATGTTACTTACACTTTATCCTTGTCAAACCAATCTGTTTTATAAACCTCAAGTTTTTTAAATACTGGCAGATAACTCCTCATAAACTGGCCAATCAGCCACATTTACAATAGACAATACAAATGTCCATGTAGCAAAATATGTCTTTTCTTAACCAAATCAGTAATAACAAATTTTTAATTACTCACTCCACGACAGGAAGACAGTTAAAACCTATGTTGCTCGGACTCTTCAAAAATGTTACCGTACCCGTGTCGGATCCTTTAAAAATGCACTAAATTTGGAGGATCCGACACGCACCCAACAACATTATTGAAGAGTTCGAGTAGCATAGGTTAAAACTAGAATATGTCAACAATTTTAAACAAAACATGCCTGGTGTTTAGCGATTATTTCAACTCCAATACTAATTACTATGAAGCAACTGTAAATACCAAAAAGGTGAAAAGGCAGACGAACTAACTAAGCGTGAGTTTGGTACAAATTAAAATGCCTCCATGGAATTATCTTATAATATGTTTTATTTTGGGAAATAG